TCCCAGACACTGACTCACTTCCTGTCTCTGATCCCAGACCCTGACTCACTTCCTGTCTCTGATCCCAGACACTGACTCACTTCCTGTCTCTGATCCCAGCCACCGACTCACTTCCTGCTCTCCTCCCTCTCAGTGTTTGGTGCTGGGTGCTGGACCATGTGGACTGAGGACCGCCATCGAGCTGGCCCTGTTGGGGGCTCAGGTGGTGGTGCTGGAGAAGAGGGAGGAGTTCACCAGGAACAATGTTCTCCACCTGTGGCCCTTCACCATCTACGACCTCCGAGAGCTCGGAGCCAAAATGTTCTACGGCAAATTCTGCTCAGGCTCTCTGGACCACATCAGTGAGTGACTTTTAAAACTCTGTAAACCAACCGTAACCTGACAGGAGCTGTCACAGGACCTACACCCAGCCTGATGGATACGTTTTAGTGATGTGGAGCAGCTCAACATCAGAGGATCTTTGATGTATCTGCACTGCTGAACGGCTGCATCACAGCTTTTAGCTGCAGTGCTTCATCATGTCCATGATAACGGCCCTAAATATAGATATCTGTCTGATTCATGTGCACAGAGAAGTTCTYTTTCTAACCACAAACAACTCTTTAAACTCAGTAAATAAAGGAGGACAGGCAGAAACAATGCCTTTTTTCATGTCAGCAACATTAAAATAATGAGGGAAACATGCAAAACTTTATATCATCAAACTGGTCTGGAGCTGCTTAAAGTCAGACGTTATGTTTTTAACACCTGTAAAGTAGATTTGGACAAAATCAGATTGTGAGCAATCAGTTTGTCACCAAATAATATTTGTGCACTTGGAGATTAGTGACTTGTGTCAATGCAGCGTGGAGCTTGTAAGGGATATGTGACTTATGTAAAATAGGTCTCCCTACATCTTATCATAACAAAGTTATGAGAGAAAATTTTACCAAGGTTTTTTCTCATTAATATTTGTCTGTACAAAGTGAAGGGTGACACAATGAGGGAACTCAGACGAGTTCAAATTGATTCATAAAAGATTATGCAATCATTTATTTACACAAATTGAACAAATCATAAGTTACACTTGATTGTGG